ATCACCTATCGAAGCTCTGATATTATTCTCTAAAGTTTGCTCGTAAAGAGGTGACACGTAGCTTTCTCTCGGATTGCAAGGAGTTGGTACATGCTGACCTGTCCAATTTTCGAGGAAACGCTTCAGATTTTCATTGTTGAGCTTGTAGAGCGGGATATCGGCCTTAAGGAGAGCCTCACAAAGCTCGCTTGAGAAATGACTCCTACGAGTTTCACTTTCTGCAGTAGTGATCAGCTCAACTAACTGATCCGATTGGTTTCGCCGGAGGCGTAGGTTCTCTTCGTGCTTCGCGGTCTTAACGTGCTGAGTCAGCATGAACCTACGTGCACCTTTGAAGGTCCTCAGACACACTTAACAAGAGATCTTTTCGTCATCGGATGTAAAAACTTCCGGTCCGAATTCTTCCACCAATGATGCGAAGGAGTTGCGTCTGACTGGCCCAGAGTCCGAGCAAAATGTCTGGGCCTCAGACATTTTGCTGTAGCACGTAGCACGCCACCACCACCAACAATATCCTCCGTTCTCTTCGCGGACGAGTACGTTTCCCGATCGCAGGGATCCGAGACTACTAGGATCTGTCTTGAGCCAAAATTATATTTCCGGAACACAGACGACGCTGGCGCTTCCGACAATGGTCGCCACCGCCAATAGCTTCGTTGTCGAGAAGCAAGTTCAGACGACGAGGTACACGGTGACGGGTTGAAGAACGATTCTGGGTACATTCGAAAATTTCGCGCGCAGGGGGGCTCAACGTCATCCGGGAACCCGATATTGCTCCCACCGCGTAAGACTTCTCCGATCTCATTTCGGTCGGAGCAGACATGGTTTGGATCCTGACAGGGTCCGTCGGATCATCAGCGAAGCAGATAAGACGGACATGCCAGAAAATACGCGGAGGCTCACGCACGAACATGCAGCACTAAGTAAGAGATACGCCTGAAAGCACCTAATATGCAAGAATATGGGGGTTTATGAAGAAATGTGCGAGAATATGCGAAAATATGCGATTCTGCGAATATGCAGAAAATATGCCTTTGCATGAACTCTGTGGCGCTGGTAATAACGATACCCTCACGGCACAGGGGTATGGTGACGCCTTGCTGTCTGTTCATCGAGGGAACAAGTGTGTGATTATCAAACTCTGTGACGCCCTACGCCCTATACGTTCCGGAAATGAATACGAACCTTATCTCTGTCAGCAAGTTGACGGAAAGTGGCTACGAAGTCACAATGAACACTGAGAGGACCCTCATCTCCACCGGTCAAGGAAGAGCGATAGCCGAATGTAAGGAAGGACTCTACGTCCTCAACATCGACGAATGTGAGCCCAAATGTCTGCAGACTGTAAGCTATAGTACCGAGGCCATGGTAAGCTTGAAAGCCGCTCACGACGCTCTAGCGCACTTAAATAAAAGAAAAATCATGGAAACCCTGGACCGTGAAGGAATCGAATACGAAGATGACTTCTTCAACTGTGAATCATGTCAACACGAGAAACAGCATCGGAGCACCTACCGAACCAAACCCACAGACTGCAGAGCAAAAAGACCAGGATACATCCATGGCGACCTATGCTAGCCAGCCCAACGATCCCTGACCGGCTTTGCGGAAATATGGAGTTCCCGAACTCTTTTCTTGTTTGTCAAAAACCTCCGACGCATATATCTAAGCTAGCTGCTGAATAGACACAATCAGATACTTTTCTAGTTCAGAGACCTAGTTCTAAAACTCGGTGAATTCCGGATGTAAATCTAGGACGTTCACTCTCTCTACCTACTGGATCCTTGACACAAATATCATCCTATATATTCAACGAATAAACGAATAGAGATACTCTCTGCTCGGTGACCACACAGAGGGCATCCTCGTCATTCTAAAGTCTGAATTCTGTTCTCCTCCTGGTATCCCGACTGATCTAGTGAAGCTTCCCCTCACGGAAATTCCTATCAGGCTTCAACCACTTCATGTGCCTGACCGACGACTTCAGTCGTTTCCGACGAGTGTACTTCCTTAAAAATAAGGAGCAAGCAGCAGAGGCCATCTGACAATACACTCGATGGTTCCGGAACAAGTTTCAACGCGACATCGACCGGCTACATACGGACAACGGTGGCGAGTTTTTCAATGCTGCCGTTACCAAAATCCTTACTGACATTGGAGCTGATCAAACCGCTTCAAATACAAGAACTCCAGCTCAAAATGGTCTAGCAGAACGAAGCAATCGAACTTTGGTTGAACTTGCAAGAACCATCCTCATAGACTCTAAATTAACCAAGGCGCTATGGCCCGAGGCGATCTGCTATAGTGCTAATGTCTTGAACGCCCTGACCATTAACCCTGTCACAAATCCATCGGCCTATGAGATATTCTACGGGAAGAAGCCTTACTTCGAAAGATTCAGACCGTTTGGAACTCCATGCACATACGTTAACTTGGAACCCACAAGGAAGAAACTTGATCCCCGAGGAATCCCTGGATTCCTCGTGGGACTAGGCACGGAAGTCGCAGGCTACAGAGTCTGGTCACCTGGCAGAAAAATTGTGGTGACAACCAAGGACGTTATATTCCCGAAGAAGAGTCCACTAAACAGTGGCAGTGCGCAAGATGGAAATTAAGATGGTGGAACTCAACCAGCGCCACCAGAGAATCCAGAAAATGGTTCAACCAGTGAAACAAGTGACCAACCAGCGGAGCAGCCTGGACCAAGCAACCAGCAGGAGACGAGTGACCAAATGGAAGAAAGCAACCAAAACAGTGTAACGCCAAGCGAACCACAACAGGCGAGTGGTTCGCGAACGAACGAAACGAACTCTCTCCCAATGCTCCCGACTGGAGACGGTCAAGTTAGTACTAGAAGAAGAACTAGAAAACAGTACGAACTCAATCCTGAACGTTTAGCTTCTTTAAGACCGCGTATCAAAAGAAATAATAGATATGACGCGAGGCATCCAGCCAATATTGCTATGGCAAATATTGGCGATTCAAACAAGGTAAAAGAACCAAACTCGTATGAAGAAGCTATTAATTCTGAACAACGTCAGGAATGGCTAGAAGCCATGGAAGCCGAAATGTTCAGCATGAAGGCATTGAAGGTGTGGACTCTGACAACACTACCACCTAGACGCCGAAGTTTAGGCTGTCGTTGGGTCTTCCAAGCAAAGCGAAATGCTGAAGGAAAAATCGAAAGATTCAAATCGAGAATCGTTTTGAAAGGGTACGCTCAGAAAGCTGGCATCGATTATAAGGAACTATTCAGTCCTGTGTCACGCTTTGAATCCATCAGACTCGTCCTGAATATTGCTGCGAAAGAAAAACTTGAACTTTTCCAGTTCGATGTTGCTTCCGCCTTCCTATCCGCGGACATTGAGGAAGAACTATATATGGACCAAGCGGAGGGTTTCCATGACAAAACTCCACGAGTATGTAGACTTAACAAGGCTCTCTACGGGAGCCGTCAGGCCCCCCGATGTTTCCATATGAAGATTAAATCCGTACTCCTTAGTCTAGGACTCAAACAATGTCTCGCCGAACCATGTGTTTTTTACGGCGACAATGAGGACAGACTAATCGTGCGCCTATACGTCGATGATGCAATTCTGGCAGGACGCACTGAGAAATCAATACTCGATATCCTTACTAAATTAAAACAGCATCTCGAAATTACGTTTAAGCCGCTTGATCACTTCCTTGTAATTCAAATTCACAGAACAAGTGATATGAGCGTGGTTATGCGCTAAGAACGCTACACCCTCGACATTCTCAAGCGTTTCGATATGATAAATTGCAAGCCCTGTTCAACACCGGCTGATAGGGATATATATTCCCCTGATGTCAGTGAGGAAGTCAAGGATATACCCTATCGAGAACGTCGGAAGTCTCTAAATATCGCCCTCTGGTATCTCCATCGACGGGAGAATACGCTCGAGTTTGCCGCATCTTGATTCTTTGGTCTGAACCGCATCTCCGGGAGACTTATTTTGGACGGATGACCGTAGACAAAATCCGCTGGACAGAGAGCTCTAATTTCGTTGGGGTCTAATTGCACTGATGAGAGCGGTCTCCGGTCGACCAGTGCCTCATTCTCCATGTGTACCGACCCCAGCTCTCTGAAGGACTGGGTGTTCCGACATAGAACTTTCCTCAAGGGTCTCTTGATTGTTCGTACCATCCGTTCCCACCAAGCTCCGTGCCAGGGAGCTCGCGCAGTTATGAATTCCCACGACACCTCTGCAATTACCAAGTGCTTCTGGAAAGCCGCTGACTTGACATGACCGTATATAATCTTCAGCTCCTTGGCCGCCAAATGAGAGGCCATAGTCGGATATTATCTTCGTAGTGGTTCCAAAACGGCTCAGGAACTTTTTCAACGACAGGAGGTCATATTGGCAACCAGCTCGACATGCAAGACTCGCGTCGACGCGCACACGAAAAGCAGGATGTAGCTCTTACACGTAACCCCTGATCTTTCCTGTAGGGGATCGGTCCGGCGTAATCTACTCCGGTCACCGAAAATGCCGCTGCCGTATCTATGCGTGTTCATAGACCTTCAAAGATGCCGCCATCGTGTAGAACCCACGCAGAGCCGCTTCTCGTCTCTGTGTTTCGAAGAGATCAATAAATGACAGCTAGTTCCGTTAAGACGATCAGTAACTCTGTCAACATGCAGACGGTAGGAGCAGTTCGCGAACAAAGATAACCTGGGCGGTCGCTTGACGGCCGAAACCTCGTGTTTGCTCGGACAATAAAATAACTTGTGAAACGTTAACCGGTGACCTCCATGTGAGCTAACAAGTGGTGGAGAAGCGGAATCGACCTCCGCACAACCCAGCTCGTCAAGCAATCATCACATCCCAAAGTGCAAAGTGCTAAATCGCAAGTCACTGGACTTGAACATTCACCGAATACTACCAGATCCGGAAGAGAATACGGCAGCATCGACTCAATCCTTCGCTTACAACTCAGCGAGCAGCCAAGGAATTGAACCCAACGACTGAGCGACGATGGAAAATCTCGACGACGTTGAAGCCGCGGAAAACGACCAGCCAGTTCACCAAGATCCACAGAGCAACCAAGTTCAGCCGAACGGAACTCAGGGCGAGTTGAACGAACCAGCAAACGAAAATAGTCTCGTCCGACAAATGCAATCGCTGGTCGTCCACACCCCGAAAGACGCTCCTAAATTCAATGGAAAAATCGACGGCTCGGACTGGCTACGGGAATGCAACAGGGTGGCAGCCTTCAACAGCCACAATGAAGACCAAAAGCTAAAATCCGTGCCCTTCAGCGTGACTCAAGCCGCATCCGGTTGGTTCGACAACACCGATGGCGAGATCACTTCGTGGCCCGACTTCGAAAGAGCATTCAAGAAACGTTTCATCAGTGCTACCAGAAGAAGCGAAGCCGCCCGCGGAAAACTCAACGAGATCGTCTACGAGAAAGGCGAATCCTACACAGCTCATCTGGGGACAGTCATCAAACTCTGCAGGCAAGTGAATCCGAATATGAGTCCCGAAGAGATCATAAGAAAATTCACGACGACGTTCTCACCGAACCAAGCGATGAGTCTAATCAGCAGGAGTCCAAAAACCTTGGACGAGCTCCGGGACCACGCTAACCTGCTCGACGAAACGCTCCCATACGTAAACGGCAAAGAGGACGAACCGAGCATCATCGCGATGGTGCGCTCGCGGCCCCCCAGCCGGGTGCGCTTCGCACAACAAGGGGTGGCACGTCGATCCCCGAGCGCTCAGCTGCAGTCAACCCGGTAAGAGCCACTCCGATCATCGTTCCCAGCAGACAGTTCCAGACAGAAGGTCCGTTCTACACCGGCAATCGCCGCAACGAAGGAGGACAACCACTCTGCAACTGGTGCAACCGCCCCGGACACGTCCTGAAACACTGTATGAACAGAGCTCGAGGTTACGTCGCAGCTCGCCCCGCCGAATCTCATCCCAACCAGGGAAACTAATGTCGCTGTCCTTAGCCTTCCCTTCGAGGGGCGAGGACGCCGCAATCCTTCGAGGCAATAAGATCACCATCCGAGTTCACGGACACCCAGAAACCATCGCGCTTGTCGACTCGGGGGCGGACGTGTCAGCAGTCAAAGCATCTTATCTGAGAAGTCATCAGGTAAAGCTCATTGCCAAGGACCAATCGTTTACGCTCCGCTCGGTGAACAGATCACCTATTTCTACTCAAGGCTCTTGCGTGCTCCTGGTCAGCTTAAATAAATGTTCTAATTTTGTCCCCTACGAAATCGTAATAATTGAAAATTTAGCAACAGATCTTATTTTCGGGGACAATTTCTTGCGAAGATATGGGGCTGTCGTTGACTTAAACCAGAGCACGTTGAAGCTTACAAGAAACAAATACGAAAAGAATTTCGATCCAACACCCCACTCATCGCTCACTTCCAAACACCTCGGAGCAATGCACATCGAGAACGAAAATCCTACTAACAACCAATAATACGCGATCAATAGTATCAATCTAGAAGCAAGAACCGTCTGCCCGGTAGCTGTAAAAAGCAAGTCCAATCACAATTCTAAACCAGTAGTAATCGAGCCCACAGGAGCTTTATTACTAAAAAAATACAATATTTCCGGCTTCCCTAATCGACCTCAAAAGAAACTGTCACGAACAGGACCAGGTCCGTTGCGTCATCATCAACCTCTTATTACTCCCACCACACGATTTCGACCATATTACACTCTATTCCAATCACATAACACACCCCGACACACACTCCCAGAGAGAGGCCAGGTAATCACCAAGGGTAATCTTACTATACAGTTAATCTAAGGGGTTCCTCTCCTTCCTTCCCATGTGTATATTCCATATTCATTATTCTTATGTCGTTCGTTATTTCCTAAGTTAAATCATCTCAATCAGAGATAAATAAATAAGACTCAGAGTCGGTAGCGCACTTGGGGATTCGCGCCGTCAGCGGCGGCGCGTATCTATAGCGAACTCTTCTCGGAACAGCTCTCTGGCCACGGAGGGCGCGACAGTCTCTCCAACAGCTGACTGTCAGTGGCGCTGTCAGTGGCCGGAACTGTGACGTCAGACGTCAGTA